CCGGATTCCCTGTTTTTAGGTGAGGGGGATTTAATTACCTCCTTTCTCAGCTGCTTATTGCAAACTAGTAGTGGACCTCAACAAATAAGGATTTATCTCAGATTTCGCTGAGTCGCTCGATTTAAACGGATTAAACTCGAGTAAACTGTTCTGTCCTTCGCAGTACTGCAAGGAGCTTTCTCCTAGTGGTTCCCTTGAAAATATCAGTCCAGACTCACCATTCATTCTATTCTGAGTAAAATGGCCATCTCTTAAACTCTGCTGTAAATCTCACGACCGAAATGTCGACTCCCCATTTTCTTCTTCTGTACTTCTCATAGCTTTATTATTATTTGGTTTTCCGCTTTAAGACGAGGCTACAAATATTTTCAACTCTTCGAAAACCTCTGATTATTGTCCGTCGGCAGAAAAAGAATATTTCCCTCTAAGCGTCTTCTTTTAAAGTATAGCAATCAGTATAAACTTTTATATTGCGGCCTCAAGAAGGTAACACACTCGGCATTGATTGGTCCTCACAGGAACCCAAGCTGACCAGGCTGCTGTCTTCATAGAACCGTTTAAATGGCGATGAGCCTGCTTAGAAAGGAAAAATTGTTGACTTGACATCTGTTGGCTCTTCCACAAACAAATAAACATTGCGCGTTGGCGCAAGTCAATCTGCCAATGCGCCATGCCCTCGGTGTCCCTCGGAACTACAACCATTTCAGTCGGTACTTTGTTTCCACCTTTGTCCCTCCGATGATAAATGCGATAGAAATGCCGATCCTCGGTGTAAAAGGGTTCGGGTGAAACTGGCGCATGAGATGTAAATATGGTAGCAGATTGGCATTCTGGAATATCATTGATTCTGGGGGCGTCCCTTGTGCCCAGAGATACGACGCGCCCCACGACCCGCAACAGAGGGGAGGGGTGGTAGAGAGATCGTCGTCGACTATAACGAGTTTTTACAAAGCACATAGTAAAACTGTTTCACCACCGACTAGGGTGGCTGATATGGTGATGTATTGCGTCTGCAATGAAAACGTCTGTATGTAATGCGCACAAAGCGGATCAACAACCACAAACTTTTCGCGAGACCAAATATGCCCCTCCCCTTCTCGATCGACAAAATAAGACCACGCTCAATATGAAGTCGACAACCAAAATGGACAATTATGGCGCCTCTCGGAGTTGATTCAGTCACGTTACGTTCTTTGTGCACATTGACGGACAAAGTAGTTGTTGTTCAGCTTCACTAGTAACATGGAACGGCCATTTCATCAGTAGTTTTACCAGAGGCTGGTTAGGAACCACTAGCCTCTCGCGCAATAGCAGAGTCAAGAGAAAGGTTGGAAGGCTAGTTAGCAGTTGAATCAGCAGCCAAGGAGACTAGCTGGCTGTGAGGTACTCCTAGCATCTTCTTCTCCCCGTATCCAACCGTTTATCCCCAAAATTGGCAAGGTGAAGATCAAGTAGGCTTCCTTAGTCGTTGGAGTTCGGTTCTTTCGCGGCTGACTTCTACACGGAAGTGAGGAACGAGAACGAGAGCGGTCACCCACCAGACGGCTGCGATCCAGTTGAAGGCGCGAGAGCAGCGACTGCAATGGTTTGGGCACGTAGTGATGAGGCCTGAGTACCAGCCAATAAGAAAGGGTTCGAATTTGGAGTACAGGGCAGGCGACTGCGAGGAATTCCAGAGAAAAGATTGAGGGACGTCATGAAGAAGGACCTCTCTGAAGTGAATGCTACCGCAGAAGATGCGCTGGATCGGAACAAATGGCGCCCCAACAAGAGCAGCGGACTAATTGAAGGAGCCATTTCCTGCTGAAATTGATTTCCAGTTGGGATTTGGTGTGAACTGATTTTCTCATTTTTTTCGGCTCTGACGTCGACTAGCCGATTCATCATTACATGTGACAATTGTCTAAATGTTGCAGGTGAAGAGCGCTAGTTTGTCAAATGACTTGCCCCTAAATCCCAGCGTTCGCCTGTGATAAATGTGCTGTTTTGATGACTGACTCCACCCCGAATGATGACGCCATGCGGCTCGTGCATTTCCAAATGCGCAATTTTTTCCGGCAATTGATTTCCGCTCGATGTAGTGCAATGGTCTGCTGTCCGTCAACTGACCATTGAACATGCCCAGATGCCTGGCTACAGGAGGAGTTACTAGTAATTGCTGCGCCAGTGCACTTATCTTAATTGGATCGCTATTCCGTGGCAATGATAGAATCTTCCGTCCAGCACCTCACGTCGCTGGCGCGTCGTTCTCGCGCGCTAGCACACTGCTCATCGGGTGGTCCCGCAAACGCACGTGTTCCTTCTTGTCATTCTCGAGATGTCTCTTGTCTCTCACTGCCTATGCGCGCACCTGCCGGTAGTCAGTTGCTTTGGAACGCCATCAATCCTGACAGCAATTTCGCTGCAATTTATTGACTGTTCTCAACGCGTGTTCATAGCGTTTTTATGTAAGAAATCAGTCACGGCTACGCTTGACTGTCCCTGGTCGCACCTTATTAAATTAGCCTCTCTAACCCATAATCTCTGGGTGCTTCTGGTGGACCATCTGCTGGTGGCTTAGAGTGCGCCATCATTGCTCGTAATCCGAATTGTCGAAGGGGGTCAAGAGGGTATCGAGACCCTTAGCCACACCTTGTACATCTGATCCCTGCCCATTTTAGGGACCTCATCCAGTCATATATCTTGCTGCAAAAAGAAGTCATATGGAAGGTTATGAACAGAAGGAGCTAAGGCTCTCACAGCTTGCTCCTCGAACGCGAATATAAATGAGGGTCTTCATAAGCGGGTGGTGGGTGAGAGGCAGGGCTATCTTTAATCAAGCGGTTGAGGATGATGTGGTAGCGGCACGAGAGACACCCATCCATCCTCTCCTTGTCACATTTACTCCTGCGTGCCAATTGTTCTGACATATGCACTCCAATATCGAATCCCCCGCTCTCGCACGGCCATTTCTCACCATTAATGTTTTTCGCACCCTCTTCCCTCCCTCTCTTATCTCGTTGACCCCAAGGGGTCAACAGATTTCCTCAAGGGTTTCAAGGTGTGACAATTTCTCCTCCGTACTCACTTTTCTATTGGGTGGAATACCCTTGGGTGTTTCCCAACGCAGACCTCATCACTTTAGGCACCGACTATGGTGTGCTGTCAAATTACTACGGGTTCCGACTTGATCAATTCTCCTCCCACATGAGTTTTCCTCACCAGAAAGACCCATATCGTGCCATTTTCGCTGCATATTTTCGTCTTTTTGTCCTTTTTGTAATTCTGCATGTCATGGGTTGTGCATTCTTCCTCTGCAAGGACATTTTTGAGCATTCTCTTACAGCTGAATTCATTTGAGAAAATGCGCTAGTAATTCAAAGTTCTTAGAAAGGATGAAAAATGCTTTTAGGGGCTAGTCTACGGCGGTTGGAGGGAGCATTTCGTGAACCACTGTGAAGCTAAGAAATGGTTGAAAGTTCCATCTAGTACAGTACATATACCAAGGACAACAGACCATTCCCTTCACGTTATGGAGACGATTTTAGAGGTCCGCCAAAGTGTCTTCCTCTGCTGAATTGTCCCTTGACTTATAATTATTTCGAGTTAACACCACGTCACATCAGACGGTGAATCATTATAGAAAGTTCCGGACCCTGCCGAAATTCCTGTCGCGTTCTCATGTCAAAAATTACGCCTACGATCTATTCCATCCAAGTGCCTTAAAAAAAAAACTCAATCATCTATTTGGAGTTGCGAAATGAAGGCTCCGCAAGTCGACTTGGAGCGAGAACGCTGTTACTAGCGAAGTGATAAACCAACCGAGCATTTCCAACATAATTTCAACGGCTTCACGAAGTTACCTGATTTTCAGGCTATTGTGAATCGGACAACTTTTGCCTCGAAAGGGTCTAAAAATTGGGAAGCATTCCCCCTAAGAGGATCTGGTGCCTGGAAAGACTTTCGTCAAATCATTAGGGGGAAAATCGATAAAATCGATGTGGAATTATGTATCTTTTGACGTGTTCGCGACTTAACGATTGGTTCATAATGGACTCCTACGTATTTAGATTCGCACTGGATCGATTTCCGTTGCAATTTCCCCTTGCGTTTTTGTGACTTAAATATTCCCCTAGTACGGTTAGTACGGTATAAATTTGAAGACCATTCAAATGAACCGTAATCACAACTGGTTTTTCTCCTTTTTGTCCTTCCTTCCTGTTCCTACCAGTTCTACGCTTCAGATTTTCCACGATCCCACCAGTTAAGAGGTTTGTTTATCCCAATGCCGCTTGCAACACAACAGCTTATGGATTTACAATATTCAAATTCGTTCTGCTTTCATGAAACCGCCTTACATCAAGAAACCTCAGCGTTTGAGTCAATTCCTATGTAGTGGAACACCTACAATCGAGCAGCCGAGACCGGGGCCCTGAGAAGGCGAACGCGACAAACGCAGACCCAGTAGTGCCAACAACTCTGGGAAACCTGGAGATATACTGCAACCAGTAACTAACTGAATGATACTGATCCTGCCAAAAACTGAAAGAAAATCGTCATCCTGTAAAAGGATATTCAGAAGGCATGTTCGAAAAGAAAAATGAAAGCTTTGGCAGTGACTGATTTTCCAATCAATAATTTGAACAGCCTAACAGTTTACTCAAATTTTCACCTATAGGAGGAGGGACTCAGGTCTGCCACGGATATTCAACGGAATCTTTGTGCAGTAATGGGATTGCCGGAAATGGAAATGAGGAACTTCTCCTAACCATTAGTCTAGTGAAGGAGCTCCGGGTGAACCAGAAGAGGGGTTTCCCCTTACACTGATCTCAGTCTTTACAAAAAGACTCTTTTTATTACTTCCCATAGCGTTTTGCCCCTCCTTACGCTCTGATTTTCATAGATTTTCAGAGTAGGGTGTCTAGTGCTTCAAGCGTAGACTCTCAATTTCGTCATAATTACTTGGAATGAAGTTTGGAAAACGTTCAACAGTGGACCAAGTTAGTAAACGGTTTTTCAGGATGGACGGGGCATCCTCGTCTGGTCCAAGGCCATATATTCGTCTTACCTCACAGCTGAAGAATGCCACACGTTCCGCGGGAGGAGAAGTCCGATTCAGATGTGAGGCCATTGGCACGCCACCTCTTTCGTTCACGTGAGTTGGTATAATTCTCATGAGTTTTTCTCATTACTTCCGGCCTCAGAAAATTGACTATAAACAAGTCATGTACAGTACGTTCCGCTTACTTATTTAATTTATTTCTGAAATACACTCAAAAATAACTCGCATATCAGAGCAAATTAGTCAGATATAATAGCCGTTGTATAGGAAAGAAAGGAAATAAGTATGGAAAAAAGTCAGAGAGAATTAGGTCACGTGATCGATTCGTGAGGCAGGCACGGGGACTAGTATTCAGTAATCGTGCTGATTCCGCTGAGCGTGCTGTGCTCGGGAAGAAACTGTCCAAAGGGGGACCCATGCCATTTTTTTCGCGAACGTTTTTTGAATTGGCAGATTTAGATTCAAAACAGAGATTTCCGCCAGGGTGATTTTGACCAAAATTCCGTGGCGCGAAGGAATTAGCTAGATTCTGACACGAATGTCATATCCGGCCCGGTGTTTACAGGCAGGGGCACGCCATCGTTTGTGATGATCACAACGGGGACAAGGGGGTCGTATTTGACCGCGAGGGAGGGGGTAGTATTTGGTCTGAGAAATTTTTTCAGTTGATTTCTCTTGTTTCACGGACGGTATAAAGGGAGGTCGTATTTGGCCGTTGTTGAGAGAGGGACTGCCAAAGATCTATACAACTACTATTTCCGATAGAAATGATTGTTGAAATCCTGACGACCTCTCCCACCTCCACCCCCCCCCCCCCCGCTCGACAGCAAAATTGTGGGGAAAATCGACAGCAAAATTTTGGGAAAAACCAGGAGGAAATTTCGGAAAAACTGGTAGGAGGTTAGGGAAAATCTGAGAAATTTGAATTAGGGGGTCGTATTTTTCAGGAAATGATTACAACGCGATGGCGTGCCCTGGTTACAGGCCAGTTCTGATGGCGGAGCTCGTGGTGTGCACGCGATGGATCTTCGCGCGAAGATGTGACATTCGCGTTCAGAGGCGAAACTTGCCCTCGGAGAAAAAAAACTTTAGCTAATTGTACTGGGGCGAGAAATTACGGTCAAAATCCGGATTTAATTTCGGAAGTTGGGACAGGGTGGGAGAAATATTCCCAAACGTCCGCCCTTTCTAAGCTTCAAGACGCTACCAGATCATGCTCTTTGATTGTTGCCAGGGTCGAGTGAAGGAAGTGAAAGGTATAGAATGAAGCTTCAATTATCTGAAATAATCGATTCTTCGCATTTTGCTGACACGCGACTTGCTTATTTTTATAGTAGCAAGCTGTATTTTTTTCATAGGACTACAGTCCAAGGGTTCATATTTTCAGGTGGTTGAAGAATCATGCTCCCATCGAGAAGTCGCGACGAGTGAAAGTTCGAAATCGTGAGAACTCGTCCCGATTAGTGATCACCGAACTCGACGTCTTGGACTCCGGCTACTATCAGTGTATCGCGTCCAATTCGGCCGCCTCTGTCAACACAACTAGTGTTCTTCGGGTCAGTCAATTCTTCGCTCTTTCATTTATTCAATTGCTTCTGCTCATCCCATCCGTTCACCTCCTTCCATTGATTCCGTCGTTTCTGAAGCCATTTCGTGGGAGCAATTCGTGCCTCCAGCAGTCATCAGTAAATGCATGACTCATCTGCCAGCGGCTCATTATCCTTGTCTCGTTGGGCTCCACATTCACTTTGTCGTTGCCTCCATTCAATTGGACACTGCTGGTCAGTATTGCCACCCACGGGGCATCCATCGCCTCGCGCTTTTCCACTAATTCGCTTCCCCTACGGTAGTCGTTCGCTTGCGAAATCGCCGAAAATCGAAACCGTAGCCTATTCATATGTATTTTGATGTGATGTGGAGGTGCCTGATGATGTGAGGAAAGCAAAAAGCACCTCGTGTGAGGAGGCCCTGGACATCTAAATGACCGTCAGACTAGCGACAAAGGTGATTTATCATAGTTGGCGCGCTCCGACCCGCCCTCAGTGCGATCACCAGATAGCACCCTCTCTCCCACCAACAAACGTACTCCTCCCAGCTCGTTTTCGATTTCACTATGAAGGTATTTTCTTCACAGCTGCGCTTCACCCATACTTTATCTTCAGAGTTTGCTTTCGCTTCACATTATTCCGCAAATTAGCCTGAAATGATTTTGAACTTACCTAGTAGTAATATTTTGCATGTTGGTGGTCAGATGTGTCAAGCTTCCGCATATGCTTGACCAGAGCCGCTTTATTTCGCGGTGTCCTTGCCAAGGATCCCGATCGAGAGCTCTTGGGTTTACAAGGGGGCGTCGTCCTCTGGGTCAACCCAACAGACTGAGTGGTGGTTGTGAGCGATGGATGGATAGATGGATGGATGGTACCATCGGTCCACCGAGCCGACCATTTGACTGATCGTCACTCTCGCCGCTCCTCGAGCAGCTTTAAAATATGAACCTTTTATATTTTCCATATCTAAAACTGAAGTTTTCTCTCCGATTTTTGTTCTCTCATACTCATTGTCGGGTCAAGGGTCGCATTGCTCGTCGCCATCTCATTCGGATTTCATGAGATCAAGAGCCATACCCATAAGATATGCAAAGAAAATGGGGTACTGCTCGTGACCACAAGCCATTTACACCATCCTTTCGGCGGCCGCTGTGTGACTCCCACTACGGCTCATTGTCTCACTATTTTTTCTGCCGGACCACCATCGGAGACGTAAAGAAACTCTGATCACCCATTCATCGATCAATCGAATGGACGACGACCGCTTCGGAGGCTGAGCGGTGGTGCGAAGTGGCACCATCTATACTACTCCGAACAGACCTTATGCTTATGCTTTTAAGCCAGTTTAACAAGTGTAACTTAATACTGCTTCCTGGACTGTCTATTGATTCTTTCAATTCACTTGTTCTTCGTGGCCACTAATCCTCACTATTCCTCTCAATTTTGGGATCAGGGAAACCTTTGTAAAAAGCATAGAGGAGAGTCGTTTTGGGGTTGAAGGTTGGGGGCGGGGGCCTATTCGGTGGTAAAGAATCCTCGTTTCAGTTGTTTTCCCTGTTTTTGGGCGTATATATTGCTCCTCGTTGGTTGTTTAAGAAAATTTGGCTAGGTATGGGTACAGGGCCCGTCGTCGTTGGGGATTTCCCAAGGGGCGTCGTATTTGGTCGCTGCGGAAAGGGGGAGGGGTCGTAAATATTCTTTTATTCCGTATTTATTCCTCTGTGAAAATTTTTTAGATAACTGATTTTCTTGTTTACCGACTGGTATAAGGGGGGGTCTATTTGCGGGAAGGAGCGTATTTTCTGAAAATTTCCCCCAAAGTTGAGACGTGCCCAGGAAAAAACGACAAGCCGAAACCGTAAAAAGAGGAGGGGATCGTATCGGACCACCTTCTATGAGGAGGTCGTACGGAGTCGACCAAAATCCCCAACTCATGATGTGTCCTGCTTGGGCAAGGCGGTGAGTGGGCCTGGAGGGGTCAGAAAGGACGGGGAAATCAGAGCTCCTATTTAGCAAAAATTTTCCACAGCGAGGTG